TTGGGGGTGGGGGGGGGCGGCGGCAACGAAATGCTTGCAGACTTACCCGAAAGACATTTCTTAAAAACTAAAAAGAAAGATGAGGCGGGGAGCAAGAGACAGGCACAACCATATAGCTTCTTGTTCTTTGCAGTATGGCATTAATATTTTAAGGGGGGCAGGGTTCCCTTTTTGTGGACTCAGGTTGTGAGGTATGTATCTCCAACCGTGTGTGGCTGCCGGGGAGCCCAGAACACGGTGTGTACTTCAGTGTATGGAGGCTGTATCCCGGGAGCCTATTTGTGCTTACCTTTGTGTGTGCACAGCTGTGCGGAATGAATCACAGACATCAGAGATGGAAAACACCTGTTCCTGTTGGTCATTAGGCTTGGCACATATGCATTCTAGTTTCCATTTACAGGACCGTTCCGTGACCTTCTTCAGTGCTACGTTCCTTCCTTCATTCTTACATTCAGCCAACCCTGAGTGTCAACTGTCTGCTGGGGATTTGCTAGGGCTAAGGAGCAGTACTTAAGCGCTCAGCTGCTAACCAAACGGTTGGTGGTTCGAACCCACCAGCTGCTCTGCAGAAGATGTGGCAGTCTGCTTCTGTAAAGATTTACAGCCTTGGATACCCTATGGGGCAGTTCTACTCTGCTGTACAGGGTCGCTGTGAGTCAGAATGACTCCACCAATGGGCTTTTTGGTTTGAAGAGGCAAAGATAGACAAGTCACCGCCCTGTCTTCAAGAAATTCCCAGTCTATGGGGGAGATAACCATCCACAGGTAGAGTCAGAGATGTTAGTTGCCCGTCCAGTTGGCTCTGACTCATGGTGACCTTATGTGTAACAGTACTAAACATTGAGGGTCCTATGCCATCTTCATGATGGTTCATGTATTAGAGTCCACTGTTCTGGCTATTGCATAGTGCCTACCAACCTAGGAGGCTCATTTTCCAGCATTATATTGGAATAGTCTGTTGGAATCCATAGGGTTTTCATTGGCTGATTTTCATAAGTAGATCACCAGGCCTTTCTTCTTAGCCTGTCTTAGTCCAAAAGCTCTGCTGAAACCTGTCCTCCATGGGTGTTCCTGCTTGTATTTGAAATACTGGTGGCATACTTTCAGCATCATAGCAACACACAACCCACCACAGTACAACAAACTGATGGAGATGTGGTGGAAAGTCACTGTACCAGGTAGGAAATGGTAAGTGTCACTGAGGAGAAACAGAGAAAGTGCTGTGGAGCCCTGAGTAAGAGAGGGAGAGGTGACTTTTGGGTGGTGGTGGATCAGTAAGCTTTATGAAGGAAGTAGCATTTGAGAGCCTTGAAGGATGGGTAGAATTTGGACATGAGGAAATAGAAAAGTGATATATCAGCCAGAGTGAGGAAATAGAGCAGAAGTTCTGAAGTTAGAAGTCTCGGGTGTGTTTAGGGCACAGTGATTTGATTTTGTGGCCTAAAAAGAAGTAGTAGACAATGACTGGGTTAAATTGTAGAGGCCTCTGGATGAAGAGTTTGGATTTGATTTTGTAAGCAATGGAGAAGGTGGACATTTTTTTTTTTTTATTGTTGTGCTTTAAGTGAAAGTTTACAATTCAAGTTAGTCTCTCATACAAAAATTTATACATACATTGTTATGTGACCCTAGCTGTTCTCCCTATA